ATGGGTATTCAAAGGAGATGCCCCTCCAACACCTGAACCTGCAACAGATGAAGATGGTGTTCCATCTCATGATGAAGACCAGCCATCGCAAGTGGAAATTGAACCTGAACGGGAACAAGAACCAGAGCCTAAAGCATTTTTTCCGTTTGAGCAAATTATGATTAACAAGCTTGACGCGGTAATGGAGATGTCTAGGAAGCACGAGTCGTATTATTCGGGCATTCTTGATCGGTTTGATAACCTTGATCATGAGATTAACCGAATTAAGGCTCAGCTTGGGATGCAAGATGACTCGGAGTGATTCTAGAGCTTTAGTGTTTTGTTCTATTTTTAGAAGATTTAGTTTAAATTTCTATTTTTTTATTTCAATTGGGTTGTAATCGTTTTAATTTCTGAACAATATCATGGTTTATTTTGGTTTGAAAAATTTAAATTTTGGTGCAATATGAAGTTTATTGCGGTTATATTGTGTTTGGAATGATTTGGTAACTTTGATTTGGATGTTTGATAATGCTATATTCTGTTTTGAACATTGGGATGTGATAATATTATTGCATATATGTTGGTATTTATTGGTATATTTGAAATGAGGCTAAGTATAGCTGATGTATCATGTGGAATCATTGATGTATGAAGTACATATGTGTTCATAATGTATCAAAGTTGTTGATACAAGCTTTGGTATTAATTTGAATTGATTGGAACAATGCCTATGGTGATATTGCTTGGTATTAAGTCAGTCTTGTGGCATTGATTATGAGCAAATGAGTCTTGTGCATAAATCAATACATGTGCAATCTGGATATATATATATATATATATATATATATATATATTTTTGCAGGACTTAAAATGTGAAAATACTGGTTTGCAAAACAAAATGGCTTGTATGGTTTGTCATTATCAAAAAGGGGGAGATTGTTGAGATTCATGGAGTGGTGAATCAACTCAAACTTGGAGAATGAAGGTTTTGATGATAACAAAATGTGGATTATGAGAATCAAAGCTGACCAAGGACAACAACAAGTCAAAAACAAAGTCAAGAAGAAAATATGGCTATTATGATGTGTAATAGGGATAGCTCATAAGTTGTATTGTTTTGTTGAGCTTATTTTGCATGTGTGTGCTTTGTGCATGAGTCAATCTTTATCTAATTTGACTAAGAGTGAGTATGATGATGAGTTAGATACTTGAAAAGTTATTTTGAGATATAAAATAGAGTTTTTGAAAACTGACACAAAATAATCGATTATCATTAAATATAATCGATTATTCCAGCAACAGGTGGAAAGGATGCCTTGCTGTAATAATCGATTATTTTTATCCCAGGAATCTCTCTGGAATAATCGATTATCCTGAAAAATAATCGATTAATCTGTTCTTGGTTGATTTCCAAAAATCATGAAGAACAAAATAATCGATTATCCTTTAAAATAATCGATTATCTGGTTCTGAAAATGTTATAAATAGTTTTCACACTTTGAAACTTCAGAAAAAAGAAAGAACAGAGAATGAGTTAACAATCAAAAGGAGAAAAATGTTATTATGAAGTCTTTGTGACCTTCTTGGAGTGTTTTTTTTGTGAAACCAAGAAGTAAAACATTTTTGAAATGCTTTGAAAAAGATCATCATCATCATCACATTCTTGAAAGAGAAAGATTGAGATTTTCTTATGAATTCATAGTTTAATTTGTTCAGCTTTCAGGTGAATTCGTTCTTTTAATTCTTTGTGAATAATTGTAAATCTTGAGTAGGTGTCTCAAGTGGTAAGGAATTCTTGTAGTGGGTTTCTACAACAGGTGCTTTCTTAGGGTCAAGAAAGTGGTTATCTTGAATGTAGGAGTATATGCATGTGTGGTATGCTTGTAATCCTTCTTCATTAAGATAGTGGAACAAATCTTGATCAGGTTATGATTGAGGACTGGATGTAGGTCACATGTTGAGTGGCTGAACCAGGATAAAAGACTTGTGCATTCTTCTCTTACCCTTTTCTTTTACTTTGAGTAATATCTTGGTTGTGTGTTAAAGAGAATAATCTTGATTAACATGTTTGTATGCACAACATTGCTTTAAACTGAATCAAAGTGTTGCATATTGATTGTTCTTAATTTTGAACTTTATCAAAGATTAATCAAGAAAGCATATAGGACTCATTTTCACTAGCAAGTCTTTTAAGGAACTTCTTTGAAAATTCATATTAGAAAAGTTTGAATTGAAATAAAGATCCTAAGAACTATGAAAAAATTTTAAGTGTCATAGAATCCAATTCACCCCCCTTCTTGGATTGGGCCATTCTTTTCTAACACTAGGAACTTTTTTGTCCTTTTCTAGTCACGTAGCTATAGGGTGTTGTCCTTTTTTGAAAAAGTAATGTACTTTTTCTGACACATGCATGCTTTGCTTTTGCGTGCTTTTTCTTGTTCTTCTTCTCTTTGATCACACATTTTACGTTGAGAGCTTTTGTGTTGTCGTAGACGATGCCTAAGTAGTCCTTTGAGATTTGATTCTTGAAGTGTTGGCATGGTAGTCTTTGTCTGTGTCTATTAATCTTATGTGTCTCACATCTTGTTCTTCATCTGAGTATTTGATGATTTTGACTTCTTCTATGATTTGGTCAACATTGTAGATGGACAAACTTTCATTTTAGTCTATACTGTTCTTCGTCTAATTTTGTTGACTTCTGTTCTGTTTGACCAACTTCCGTCTGAGTTCTTTTACTTTGACTCGTATTTGCCTAACTTTTTGACTTTGTTCAGATCTTTGATCAACCTTCATCTAAGTCTTTATGTTGCGCTTCAGGATGTGCTTGCCACACTTTTGTCTTGTTCTTAATTTATCCTTGTTCGATACTTGTGTTGGTCTTTAGTCTGACTTGTCTATATGGAGCTTTCGTCTGTCATCTTGTATCGTCTAATGCATATGCTTGATCAATTTCCTTCTGGGAGTTTTTCTTCTAATGTTTGAAGCTTTTACCCTTTATCTTGGTCCTGACATAGGGAGTGGTACATGCTTCTTTTCTTCATTTTTCCTGTACTTATGTTTTTATGAAACACTAACACTCTTGTTAGGAATAATCAACATGTATTATATTGGTCTCACTCAAAACCTTGCTAGAAATGGCTTTGTCTGACTTAACATGTGTATCATAAACTTACATTTTTTTCATAGTAAAGTAATAACACTAGTCTGATGAAGTGTGAAGAGTAGTCAAATTAAACACTAGGTATTTTTATACTAGTTCATCTTAACTACCATGATAACATTCAATTCTCAATCCAACTAGATTGAGTTCCACTATCTTTAAACAAAGATACAAGTATTCTTTTAATAAGCCACTTCTGGCTCAACCCTAAATATTCTTTAACTTGACTCTTCAAGAAGCTACCTAAGTATTCTTTTAACAACAAGCCTCTCCAGGCTTACCAACTAAGTATCCTTATACACTTAAGTTTCTCCAGGCTCAAAACAAGTATTCCTTTTAAACAAGTCTTTCTAAGCTCAACCTTAACAATGGTTATAAAGGTTACACAAATGTTGTGTTCGTCTCACTTAGACGTTAAACAACCAGTACAAAGAAGTAAGCCTTTTACTAGAGAATAAATTTACGGTGTTTCTTTCTATACAAGTCTTTTTAATATATTACACGTCTTTTCTTTCTTGAGCTTTTAGTCTTCTTATATAATAGCTTGAAGAAGATAATCATTATAACACTTTAAGTCTAGATCACAAGTTTACTTCGTCAATCTTCATTGTTTTTCCTTAGATAGCAAGTGACTGTTTAACTCATTTAATGTGAGCATTAAATGCATTTTACCAAATTGTATCTCTTATTTTATCAAGGAGGCTACTTATCAACTTTTCATACCAAACAAAGCTTGTAGAGGTAATGTCAATGTAGTGCAGCAACAAAGGTGACTTTATCTACTTTTCTCTATGATTTTAGGGATCTTTGCCCTTGGTCCTTACAAAAAATATGATTTTGTTCTCTTTAACAAATTTGTGAGTTTCAAGATAATCTTCTAATTCGATCTGTTAAGAAATGAAACATTGAAGAAGCTTTTATCATTAATTTCAATAAATAATAAGCATTTGATGTATATGATAAAAGCTATATGTTTTGTCTGATTTACATCATCTTATATATGATTTGCGTCTTACATTTTGTTTGTTAATTATTTTCAAAGATATATTCAAAGTTTTTTTGGAAGACATTTTCTCTTACGCTTGTTAGCATTAAAAATCCAAACTCAAAAGATCTAAGATCGTTTTTTGACTTAACACAAATAAGTCCAATTAGTACATTTTTCAATTATTAGTTTCGCCCTCAAAAAAACTAAGTACACCCCTTAAAGAAGAATACAAAAATAAATTCATATTCTAATTGACCCAAAATATATAATCAAAATAAAAAAAAATATTATAAGAAAGAAAATATGAACTACTATTAATTATCCCAAAGCTCGATATAAGCTTAGGTCTTCCTCCTTTTTCTCTAGCACACTCTTCTTAGTATTTTTTGCACTTGACACTTGAACATTATTTTAACATAATCAATCATAAAAAAAAAATATATAACCACTTATTTATTTTATTTTACTTTCCAATAGAGACACTTCCTTTTTTCCTACTAGTATAAATTAAATTGATATAAGACATGTGTGAATATGCATTTATTTAAATATAATTATAAATATATATACACATATATTAAAGATCATAATAATTAAAAAAATCTATTAAAAATTATAAACATAACACTCATGCAGGCCATTACATAAGTTGAATATTTTGAGTCAATGTAATTATATGTATGATTATATAATTATTGTGGAAAAATCTTTGAAAATTATAAAACAAATAACATTTAATGTCTTGGACATGATCACATAATTAACATGGTTTGATGAATAAAAAAATATAGCAATCATTCATTGTTAATGATCACGATATATAATATTAGTTAACAACAATTCTTCCAAACGTCTTACAAAAACAAAAGAATTATTCCGTATAACGCAAGAAAAATCAGATATCGATCAAGAAAGGAGGAAGAATTTGCCCTTCATTTTCTTTCTCCGATTTCATCACGTCACACGAGCCCTCTCAGTTTTCATGTCCAACACTTGATTCCTTGTTGACATTGAATTTTTTATAAATGAATCAATGATGATTGATCCCATTATATAGCGGTTAATTAGAATTTGATGCATGTGGGTTAGGGATATTGTGAGGATGTCGAATCTGTACGGGGATTATAGCCAAAAGATTGATTACGTGTTCAAGGTGGTGTTGATTGGGGACTCCGCAGTTGGAAAAACTCAACTTCTTGCACGCTTTTCTAGGAACGAATTCAGCCTCGATTCCAAGGCAACCATTGGGGTTGAGTTTCAGACTAAAACTCTCATCATTGATAACAAGACCGTCAAGGCTCAGATATGGGACACCGCTGGCCAAGAAAGGTATATATAACTAACTTTTCCAAACAAATTTAATTTATCCTCTTTTTCATGATTTAATTGGATCAATTCATAATTTCAGAAATTGGAGACATGGGTGTGTTTGTAGAATTATGTATTTTCTCTACGGGGGGTATGATCATGGATGTATGATTTCAAATGATGTTTGTTGGATAAGGAAAACTGGTAAGGATTACTTAAGAGTCCTTCAGCATGTCAATTCATTTATTGAAAATTCAACCCAAACATCATATGAGACTTGATCGTTGCCTTAGGAATGACATATAAGTTAAAATTATTACTACTTACTATGTCTTGCATTGTTTGAAAAGTTTGTTGCTACTGATTGCATCTAATGAAGGGTCAAAAATAATTTCATGCAGGCAATTTGCTGATATGAATATGAATTTTTATCTGCATTGCTTGAAGTATCATTTCCAGTCAGTGATAGAGATACTGTTCTGGAAAATGCATATTGCTTGAATAGTTGAATGCATAGAAAGACACTATTTTTCAACCATCTTTCCCCAATCCATTTTCTAAACAGAATGTATGCGGGTCTTGCTACGTGGGGAAGTTCCGCGTCTCTGTCTTCAACTGATGAAGCCTCATCCATATTGTGAGTCTTTGATTGGTTGATGGACATTGTTAGAAGTCTTACATCAAGTAGAATAAGTTGGACTCTTCTCATGTGTTTATATCCTAATAATTGGTTCTTCCATTGAGATTTGGACTGTGAAAAGAACTATTCATAAACTGGATTAAGGTACAAAAGTAATAGTGATAGGTGAGTAAAAGTGTCAAAGAAAAATGGTTATTGTTAGGTTAGTGTTTATAGATCGAAAGAGAACTATAATGTTAGGAGTCTCACATTAAATATAATAAGAAGTTCAATGTGATACTTAAACCTTGAGATTCTCTCACCTATTGGACTAGTTTTTTGGGTTGGATCTTCCAGGTATCTAAGTCTTAATTAACACGGTTTATTCAATATTCCAAAGTTGATAACTATGGTTCTAAATTGTGGTTGCAGTTACAATTGTGGTCATTACAATTGTAGATATTGCAATCATTGCAAAGTGGGTTGTCACAATTGCGGCGTGAATTTATTAAATATGTGTATTAAATATAGAAAAATTATCACTATTAATATATTTAATATCTTTATTTTATAAGGTGTGTACATTTTTTAATTCTTTGTCTAAAAATTCTTAGTAAATTAACTTTTCCTCTTCCTAAATTTTTCACTAACAACGCAAGTTGACATTGTCAATGATTCCCTAAAATCCTTCCATAATTTAATCCTTTCTTATCATTTTAATTAAAAAGTTTAAATTCAAAATTTCCAACAATCCAACCCATGTTCACATTCTAATTAAAAACATCATAATTTTACTTATGTTCATTTTAGATTAGAATCCCAAATACCATCCATATCATCTAAACAATTCATGTCTCTGTAATTTGTGATTATGTGTTTTAGCCGCTCAACCACAAATGACCACTTTCCCATTTAAATTTAAATAAACAATTAGTAATGCTCTCACTAAAAAAAATGAAAGTTAAAAAGTTCTAGAACCTACAAATTGAGCCATTCCATTATCCCTTGACCTCAGCCCTAGTCTCCCACGAGCTCACAAGGTTCAAAATTCAAAACACATATTAAAACAAAAAAGGAAACAAGCCACAGAATAGGGCACAAGCAATAGAGGAGGGGAAGATTCGATATTGGAGTTTAGATTTCAGGATCCTTTGGAAAGATTTTCTCATCTTTTATTTTTTTTAAACTAAAAAGTGAAAAAAATAGATTTTACAGATGACTTTGATAACACAACACGGTTGCAATGCAATAAAGGCTGTGATTTCCATTCACACCACAATTGTGGTATGATGCTGTTGTAGGAATAATGGAAGTGACTTGAAGAATGGTTGATGTTTTTCAAGTTCCTCCGTCCAACACCTTTCTCCTCTTGAGGTTGACATGCCAAAGTGATGAAGACACCTTGAAGAAGCTTCAATGGTGGAGAAGCAATCAAGGAGGTTCGGTAACTCCTTAAAGATGTAGAAGGAGACAAGGTTCCAAGGCACAAAGGTGGAAACCTTTGTGAAGGAACTAGGAGAGAAAGTTCTCCACGGCCAAGAGACTTTGAGAACAGAGAATTCTTTTAGAAATTCTGATTTCATTCATCCAAAGTGAGGAAAAAGGTAAGAGTTACAAATTTATTGAAGGAGGTAGCTTAGGAAGCAAGCTAACTTTAACCATGGTTTAAGTGAACCATGGTTTAGTTGTTTGACCATCTAATCTAGTTAAGAGGCTTGTGGAGAAAGTTTCTCACTTAGCTTGCTTGGGAAACAAGCTAAGGAAAAGCTTGTAGCACAAGCTTCCCAAGCTTGAAGAAGGAAGAAGCAATTTTGGCCAAATAAGGAGCCAAGAGCAAGCTAGGCGGCCTTAGGCTATTTTGCTCACCAAACCCGTTTTTAAAATTGTTTGGATTGGTTTACCTAGGTCCATTCAAAAATGGTTATACCTAGATAAATCAAATCCATGAAAAAATAGGAGCAAAATGAGTCCAATATGTAAAATTTTGCCTAGGCCCATTTTTAGCCCAATTCCTAGTCAAACCCTCAAGCATTACTAATCGTCACCCCACTTCTACTACTGAAAAAATAAAAAAAGAGTAACCTTCAATATAAGGTTAAATGGAGTCAAAGTCTCCAAGTAACCTACCCTAAAAACAATATACAAGGTCAAATGGAGCATAACAAGTTTAATATGTAAAATTTTGCCTGGGCCCAATTCTGACCCAATTGCTAACCACACCTTCATGCCTTGCTATTTGCCACCCCACTTCTACTACTGAAAAATGTAAAAATGGTGACCGTTAATACAAGGTCAAATGGAGTAAAAATCTCCAAGGAACCTACCCTGAAAACAATATACAACAGTCTATAAAAAGAAAACAAAATGCCTTACAAATATAAAGGCAAAATAAACCTATACAAGTAACTACTATGTTTACAAACATATGAAAAGGTCTTCAAGATCATCCCATTCCTCTTGCTTCCTTTAAAGTATCACCTCTTAGATTTCTTGGCATTGGCATATTTCTATCATCCCCTCCCTCTTGAAAATGATTTGACCTCAAATCTCGAGAGTCTTCATGATAGTCATCCACACCTACAAATATATAATATCATTCATTACAGGTGACATTGTCAATCAATAAATGTGAAAGGTATATCGTAAGAGGAATCCTTTCATAGAACGTAATAAAGAAATTAATGATATTAGACTTTCTAGAATAATGAATAAGATCCTCTCCTAAACAAAGTCTAGATACGTTAAACCCTAAAAATGTACTAAAACTAAGACTATAACACATTAAAGACATAATCCTAAAAACTAGAACATCTTGCCTAAAGTACCCTATGTGGTAACCTAGGCATTTCCTAAAAAAATAAGAAAAATATTACTAGAAAATTTCCTAAGCAATTTTGGATTATATTATTTGTTGGATAGTTATGAAAAGGATTTGTCATAAGGAACCTTGAAAGTTAATATGTTGTGTCCAACAAATAATATATTCCAAGAATTGGGTGCTTTATTAAAACAACTAAAGTAGGAAGAGTCCTACACAAAGGAAGGCTAGCTATCTTGGGCACCACCAAGGAAGTAGTACAAGAAGTAGGACTATGTGAAGTCCACTTCTTCTTCACTAAATCTTGAAGTTGACATTCTTTTTCTTTAAAAATAATTGATTTGTGAATCTCCTCTTCAAGACTAGTGGCAGCATAAGGGCAATAATTAAGATCTTTATGAATAAAGAGAATTTTCTTCATAGGATTTTTAATACTAAAATAATTCCTTTTAGTCACAAATCCCTTAGAGGACATTTCTTCCTCTTTACTCTTCCCTACATAAAGTGCTTTCTTTTTTCCTTTTTCTTCTTTTCTTTTGATTTTCATTTGTGCTTGATCCTCAGCCACTTGTTGAGGTGAGAGAGGATAAAACACAAATTTCTTTTCCTTATGAATGAAGCTAATTTCATTAGTAAGACCATTGTGTATAGTTTTCTTTTCAAATTGTCATGGTCTTCCTAACAAAATATGACAAACTTCCATTGGTACTATATCACATAAAACTTGGTCATCATACTTCCCAATGGAAAACTTGACCTTCAATTGTTGACTAACTACTATTTCTCCATCCTTATTAAGCCATTGTAAATGATAAGGTTGAGGGTGTGGCATAGTAATTAAACTCAACTTTTTAACCAACCTAGTGCTACAACAGTTGCACCATGAACCACTATCTATAATGAGAGAACATGATTTATTTAAAACATTACATCTAGTATGAAAAATGTTTTCTCTTTGAGATAGAGTACCACTAGGTTGACTATTAAGGATTCTCCTAAGCATTAGAAGTTCTCCTTCATAAGGATAAACTGACTCCACATTGAACGTTTGATGTCTTGTTTCATCCTCACTCTCACTTGAAGAGGTAGTCTTTTCTTGACTACTATAAGTGTCATGCCCTCTTAAGATCATGACTTTCTTTGTAGGGCATTGAAAAGCAATGTGACCTCTCCCTAGACACTTGAAACATTTGATATCACTAGTCTTTGTGCTAGTGTGTGGAGTGATGGCACCTTTACCCTTATCTCTACTCTTTTATTTATTCTTAGCTAATTCCTTGGAGGGTTCTAAAATATTTTTATTCTCAAAAGATTTTTCCTCCTCCATGTAGTCTTTCATATGAGATCTAGAGTGGGAGCTTTCTTTTCTAGAAGAAGATTTTCTTAACATTTGTTTTTCTACCCTTACACAAAGTTGGACCAAGTCATTTAGGTCCCTGTAGGGTAGTAGCTCCACTTGGTCTCTAATCTCAAAGTCAAGACCACTTAGGAATCTAGCTACAGTGGTGGCTTCCTCTTCTCTAATACATGCCCCATCATGTATAGCTCCATTTGTTGCCTATATTGCTCAACAGTCATATCTTTTTGTTGGAGCCTTTGGAGCTTATTCATAAGCTCCCTTCCATAATAATAAGGAATGTGTCTCCTCCTCAATGCACTCCTAAGATCATTTCAATATTGGATAGGAGGATCATTATGGAGGCGCCTCTCTCTTTCCAAAGAGGTCCACCAATACATTGCATTCCCTTGAAAGCTAAGGGTTGCAAGTAGTACTTTTCTCTCTTCACTCACCTGTGGCAAGCAAAGAGTTGCTCTACCTTCATCTCCCAATCAAGGTAGGATTCCACATCATCCTTCCCCAAAAATTGTGGGAGATCCACTTTGGATTCCCTAGGCTTAACAACTCTCCTAGGGGTAGGTTAATAGTGATCGCCTACATTAAGGCTTTCGTTGGGAGAAGAATATTGTGAGTGAGAGCTCCTACGTCTCCTCTTTTGTTTTCTCATTTCTTCTTTAAGCTTTTCCTCCTGTTTTTTAACAAGTCTCAATTCTTCCTCTAGGATAGCAAGTTGGGCCTCCCTTTCAATTTTATCCTTCTCTTTTTGGATGGCCTCTTTCTTCCTCCATAGTTTAAATGATTTTAACTCTTTTGTTAGGTAAGAAATGCTTTTAGGAGAACTATCACTTCCATTATAGTCGGATTGTTGAGACATTTTAAACAAAAAGATATTTTCACACAAAAATAGTTTTTAAGAAAATAATTTTTTTGGAAGTGCTAGACTTGGCACTTAGAGGTCTAAGAGTACAAATTGAACTATGGAGGGAGGTGAGCTACAAAGAGCCACTTAATAACCAAGCCTCTTCAAGTAAAAATCTCTGAACCCCCTTGTACTTTGCCTTGCACAAAATGTTTTCACAAAGTATTTTTCAAAAGGAAAATAACAAACAAGTGCCTAATAAGTGTATGCAATTAAAACATAAATTGGTTGAAAACATAAATTGCATGAAAACATAAATTTGCATAAAACATAAATTGCTTGAAAAATTAAAGACAAGAAAATATAAACTAGGCGTGTAAAACTAGTAAACCTCAGTGAGAGCTTGGTAAGCACCAAAGACTTCCAAGGACCACTCTCACATGTACTACACGAATTACCTAGTTTGAAAACTCTAAGGAAAGACGGAAATGCACCAAAGGCACTCCAAGAAACTCCTAAAGGCCTTGTACAACAAATGAAATGAAAATTTACAAGAAACGAAATGCAAATTTACACCAAATGCAATGTAAATTTACACCAAATGAAATATAAATTCACACCAAATGAAATGTAAATTCACACTAAATGAAATGTAGTGGCTACACCAAATTTTAGAAAATAAGATTCAGCTACAAAATTAGTGACAAATTTAGAGACGGATTTATCAAGGGAAAATTTTGTGACAAACAAATTTCCGTCTCTAAACTAGTCACTAGTTTTCACAAAAATTTTCAAAAAATTTGTTGCTCCTTCAACTCCAAATTCAGCCACCAATCCTTGCAGCCCTCACAAGTGTGTCACTCCTCTCTTAGGAATAACCTTGATGTTGGTTATTCCTAGGTGTTTGGACATCCAAAGCCTTCCTCCAATGGAGAAGCAAGCTTCCTAGGCCACCACAAAACCTTCTAATGTTGGCTTCCTTTGTAGCTTGGCCTTCCACACCTTCAAGAAGCACTCAACACACCTTAAGTTGCTGGAATATATGGTAAAAACTGAAAAGGAACAATTAGGAGAAGTTACACCAAATGGTGGAAATAGATGAGACAAACTAGAAGGAATTCCAAACAATGACAAGCAAAAATTAAGGCACCAAAGAAAGGTTAGCACACAAAGGGAAACCTATCAATGGCACTAGAGTAGATTAGAAAACAAAATCTAGGATTAGAAAAGGAAAAACTCAATGTAACACACAATGTTATGGCTGGACAGAAAATTATAAGGCAAGCATACACAAAATCCGAGAGCTAGTCTTACTAGTTTTCACTCCTCTTTGGCTTTTTCTTTTGCTCTTTTTTTGTTCTTCTTTTTGCAAATTCTTTTTCACTTATTTTTCTTTTATATCACAGGAGTATTAATTCCTTTTATACATACATAAGCCTCAGATTTCATGAAGTAAAACTGCTGCAAAATTTTTTACAAAATAAGAGGTGTACAAGTGAAATTGTTTTTCTAGTGCTCAAACTTTTGTACAACTTTTTAGGTCAAATTTTCAAGCACTCTTTTGTTTGTTTTGTTTTTCTAATGTATTAAGCACACTTATACCTCTATTTTGCCTCTATTTTGATGACTTAAAAATGATACAAGTTTCAGCCACAACACAAAAATGTAAGGAAACCGAATAGGAAAAGTGTTTAACAATTTTCTTGACAAACTTTTTAATGTTCATAATAGAAACCTAACTCTAGGAAATTTGCTAGAACTAATAGCAAATTAGGAACTCAAATATGTAAAGTAAAAGCACATATAGGTCAGCACAAGATTAGAAAGCAAAAAAAAAAACGCACCAATGTAGACACAAAAAATTAAGGTTCAACAAGCTAATCTAGGATTCAACGATATAAAAAGGACTACACATGACTCTAGACAAAACACAAGATTATAAACCAAAAACACATGCTATTGATTATTATAATCCAATCACGGATTCAAGTCATAAGGAATAAAAGAAGACTCAACAAAATAAAAACACATAAGCACAAGAACACCTAAAAGTACAAACCGGATTGATTCAAGATTAAAAGGAACAAGCAAAAATGAATCAATCAATTCTCATGTGACATATAGGATCCATCAAAATATGTATTAAACCTAGATCCATTCAGCAAACAAGGCTCTAGATAACAAAAATGATGGAAGTGACTTGAAGAATGGTTGATGTTCTTAACCTCAAGAGAACTAAGGCTCTAGATACCAAAAATGATGGAAGTGACTTGAAGAATGGTTGATGTTCTTCAAGTTCCTCCGTCCAAGACCTTTCTCCTCTTAAGGTTGACACACTAAAGTGATGAAGACACCTTGAAGAAGCTTCAATGATGGAGAAGCAATCAAGGAGGTTCGGTAACTCCTTAAAGATGAAGAAGGAGACAAGGTTCCAAGGCACAAAGGTGGAAACCTTTGTGAAGGAACTAGGAGAGAAAGTTCTCCACGACCAAGAGACTCTGAGAAGAGAGAATTCTTTTAGAAATTCTAATTTCATTCATCCAAAGTGAGGAAAAAGGTAAGAATTACAAATTTATAGAAAGATCTAGCTTAGGAAGCAAGCTAACTTTAACTATGGTTTAGTTGCTTGACCGCCCAAGCTAGTTAAGAAGCTTGTGGAGCAAGTTTCTTACTTAGCTTGCTTGGGAAGCAAGCTAAGGAGAATCTTATAACACAAGCTTCCCAAGCTTGAAGAAGGAAGAAGCAATTTCGGCCAAATAAGGAGCCAAGAGCAAGCTAGGCGGCCTTGGGCTATTTTGCTCATCAAATCTGTTTTTAAAAATGTTTGGATTGGTTTAGCTAGGTCCATCCAAAAATGGTGATACCTAGATAAATCAAATCCATGAAAAATTAGGAGCAAAATGAGTCCAATATGTAAAATTTTGCCTAGACCCATTTCTGGCCCAATTGCTAGTCACACTCTCAAACATTACTAATCGTCACCCCACTTCTACTACTGAAAAAATAGAAAAAGAGTAACCTTCAACCTAAAAACAATATACAATGGTCTATAAAAAGAAAACAAAGTTCCTTACAAATATAAAGGCAAAATAAATCTATACAAGTAACTATTATATTTACAAACATATGAAAAGTTCTTCAAGATCATCCCATTCCTCTTGGTTTCTTTAAAGTATCACCTCTTGGATTCCTTGGTCTTGACATATTTCTATCAAGGAAGGTTCGCATATAGTGGCCTCAATAAGTGATGTGGATTGTAATTCAAAACCATGTTAAATACTAAACAAAACGTGAATTCTGTTGACAAATTTTAACACTTTGTGAATTGATTGTGCGATCCATATTATCAGTCTAACAGGGAGAAACAGCCACGACATAAAAGTTTGTCAATGTAATTAGAGAACCTTTATAAAGCCCACATTGGAATCTCTTATTCCACAGCTCCACTGCCAATGTAGCCTTGATGTGTATTAGCCTTTTTCACTAATCTTAGGCAAACATTTCAGTGTCAACATCACCATCTACACAGCTTGTTTGCAGCTAAGAGACATGATAGCAAGCTCTTATACCAATTGATAAGAATATTTAGAGAACCACATCATAAAAGTTATAATGTGTTTTGTTTCATGTCTATCCCGAATTCTAATGCTCCATTTAATGGACAAACTATCTCACAAAGCTTTTTCCATTCAAATGAGAAAAACGGATAAACAAACAGGACTATAGTCATCGTAGATGGAACACCCAAAGCCTAAGTCCACACTTTCTGACGTGGGAATCATGTCTCATACCCTGCAAATGGGTTCTAATACCTACAGTAAGATGCACTAAGAAAACTGTGGCGCACATATAATACTTGCGTACTAGCAGCAGTACTATGATTTTAAGACAAAGCTAGTTTTAGAGCTTAATGCAAAATACTGAATTTACATTGGTGTCCATCTCAATTTTTATTTAGCTCGAAAAAGAAACTTCTCTAAGTATCCTGTAATCAGATTAGTGAATAGAATAAGAATTATATAGTGGGTTGTTTTCAATAGATAAAATGTACTTTGAACCATTCATTGAATAGAATAGAAAGGAAAATAGAAACCACTAGCTTGACCTTTGGTATGAATTTTAACGTCATATGATAACTGTGTCCTGTGGGTTTTGTTGATAGTGATTGTTTTTTTCTGTTCCCTATAGTGATCTGGCTCTTTAGTCTTTTGGATACATAGGTGTCCTCACAAGTGTTAAATATTGTGTTTCAGGTACAGGGCAGTTACAAGTGCATACTATAGAGGTGCTGTAGGAGCAATGTTAGTTTATGACATGACTAAGCGTCAATCGTTTGACCACATGGTAAGATGGTTGGAAGAGTTGCGAGGCCATGCTGACCAAAATATTGTGATCATGCTAATTGGGAACAAGTGTGATTTGGGAAGCCTTAGAGCAGTGCCAATGGAAGATGCAGAGGAGTTTGCACAAAGAGAGAACCTATTCTTTATGGAGACATCAGCACTTGAGTCCACCAATGTTGAAACTTGCTTTTTGACCATTCTAACCGAGATATACCGGATTCATGCCAAAAAATCACTCACTGCTAATGATGATGATTCAGATCCCAATGGGGCTTCAGGGCTTCTCAAGGGAAGCAGAATAATTGTTCCCAACCAAGAGATGGATAATGGTGGTAAAAAGGGTCGTTGCTGTTAGCTTTTGTGTATTTTTAGTTCTTTCTTGGGAAGCACCATATTGCTCGTTATTATCTCATTAGGCACCATCCATGTTTAGGCTATGTGTATTTAAATTTGTGAATACAATCATAAAAATTCTCTCTTCTTTCATAACAAAATGTTTAGAACATCATAAAGAACATCTGCATTACATTTTATTCATACAACTGACGTCCAAGGACATATAGGAACATGTATTTCGGCCCTCAATCAAAAGGTGCACATAATTAAATATGCAACGACAATTTTTTAAAACATATTAGCATGGCCATTGCAAATCTTTCCCCTCCTTACATTACACTCCATTGGTCAATACAAAATCAAATAAGTTTAGGTCCAGTGTTCATAAACTTAATCAATACTTGTGATAGAAAAAAATTAAACAAATAAAATGAATTTAATTTCTCAAGTAAACTAAAATCAATTAATGTAACTTTTAATAACAATAGATTAGCTCTTTTATAAAAATTAAATAAATAAATTAGTATTAACTTATAAAAAAATACTTTTATTTTACTTTTTATTTTCTTGTCTTATAAATAGTGGCTTGGAAATTTATTCAATCAAATCTTAGTTAAAAAAATAGTCTGTCACAGAATGAAAAGTGCATCTTGAAAGAAATCTATACATATACAACCAAGGAAAGTCTTCTAAGGCATATCGTCACTGTTCAAAGACTAGTCCGGGGACATTCATGCCCTTTTCAATCGTTTTATGATATATTGCTTGGTAGCAAAAGACTTATCTTTCAAAAACATGCATCACATTACTTTTTCATGACCCATGTACGGATTGCATAAACGAATTTTGCACCAGCTTTTCTGAATGTACCCTATTTTTAAGCTTTCACCGTTTATAACTCTAGAAATGAAGTTTTTCATTGATCTTTCCTTCAAATCTGAAACTTTCTATCCTTTTTACTAAATCCTGACGGTTGTAGACACCTAATTTCGTCCCGGAACACATAAACAAGGAAATAGACTTTTAGCATGAAGAAGGAGTTCCCATAGGCCCAAAAATAATACCAAAGCAAGCTAACAGGATATCTAGAGGTCCAAAATACAAAGTGCTAGAATTAGTAGCCAGAAACAGGCCATTTCGAGTCTAGAAAAAAAACCTGTAACCCTAGGTTAGGATGCCCCATTTTGACCTAGTTACATGTAAAATTCAAATCCGGAACAAGTCGTTCCGCTTTGGGAACAAATCGTTCCACTTTGGGAACAAATCGTTCCAGTTTCAAATTTTGTATGTAACAAAAAGTTCAAAACGGGCCATTCAAAATTTAGAACGACCCGTTCCGATGGATTTTTGTGCCTATAAATAGAAGACTCGTGAATAGTGTTAGGGATGGAAAAAAATTGTCTACTGAAGTCCTATACAGCTCGAAAATCTCTCTTTCTCCCTCATTTTGTATTTCTAGAGAGTAGTGAGGCATATTATAGTGTGAAAGGCGACCAAAAAATGCATCAAGTATTCCATATTTGAAGAACCTTTTATAAAGCTCAATCAAGAGGTATTCCCACCAATCTTCTTCTCCATTTTCTACTTCTTTTATTATAAATATTACTATAATTAAAAAGGACAATCATGTAGATGTCTTAGGGTAAATTGGGTAATTTAAGTTTAAAGCATGCAAATAACCATTAATAAAGGGAACCAAATATTTAAATTGTTATTCTCTATCACATTAGTTTCATCATAAGGGTACCAATTTAGGACCTTGTAGGGTGCCTAACACCTTTGCTACCAATCCTCGAACATAATTTTGGTTGTGAAGACCATTTTTTGTATTTTTAAGAGTCTTTTTTTCTTCCTTTTTTGATGTTTTGGGCAAAACATCGATGATGACTCAATGAACTCTTTTCAAAATCGTTAATTAGGGATTAGTTTGGCGTCTGGACATTCCCTAATTGATGAGAATTTCAAAAAGGAAGTCTAAACCATCTGTGAGCAAGATTGGAATTTTTCAAGTTCTGACAGATGACGACTCCACTAGGGATGCTTAAAGAGGGTTATGCCCAAATAAATGATTAGATTAGAAAAATAAGAATAATAGTTCAAATATTTGTTCCTTTTACCTTGTTTATTTTGCATGTAAATATTTACTTGTTTGGTTTTCATATTTGTTTGTCTGTTTAAATTTTGCACCTGTTTGAAATAAAAATTGTACACAAAGCCTTGCACACAACAATTCCCTCTACACCTGGGGCATGAATGTGTAAACATAGGGAGTGATTGACGTATGACCAACCCAAGAATGGCCTTAGAGCTTGCAAGCTTTGTCATAAATCACACTAAAGGTTATAACCGGTTACTTTAGCCCAAAATACTACATCAAACCTAAATGTTTGCCGAATGACGACGATAGAGATATTGGGTCCCTATAATAGGGGCACCTTGGGAGCCTGTAAAGATCAGTGAGATTAGAACCGTCCTATACAACGCACTTTTTCTTAACAGGGACCACAAACTAAGGATTTGGACGTGACTATTCGCGGGTGTACATTTGTTTAGCACATGTGTGTTGTATTTGTTGTATTTTTCTTTTCATTTCAAACAGATAAGAATTATAGGCAAACAAATAGATATTAATTAAAAAAAGTAACACCCTTTTATATACCCTAACCTTAAAGCATCATATAGGAAAGTTTATTTCAAAAACAAAAAAGATGTGCATAGCAAAAAAAAGTCATGCATCATAACCTTTAGTTAAAAATATCCTCATCAAAAAAAGATCCTCAAGGAAGAAGTCAAACAGTCCGCCATTACACGAAATCTTCCAAAACTTCGACTTTCAAGCAAATGGAAGGAGGTTTCTAAAATAGTCGGACCAATCGTACTCCTCTAAGGGGAAACCTCTATCCATTTCTTTGTGTATAAATCACGAACTCAGGGCATTTCCGAGCCCTCGAGTTATGTTAAAAGCGCACGTGTAAATTAAAAATACTATTTTAATGCCATAACACTCTTTTTATTTTATTTCTCTTCTCTCTTTAAATATTCACTCTAGGTCTCATCCATTAACCCCTAATAAACAAGGTTTGTTTACGACAAAGACGTTACTTAGATAATAACATGGAAAGGGTAAAAATGAATAATCACATGAATCCAAACATGACTAGGGTTTAATAAAATAATCCCACACCTCAAACAAACGCTACAAAAATGAAAGCTTGGCAGGAAACCTACTAAGGGGACTATGCAAAAATTAGGGCAAGGTTCACTAGAAGACTGATGAATCATATTTTTCATACATTTTCTTACCTTTGTGAGCTCCTATTCAATGTTGTTAGTGCCTAATTATTTTCTCCTGCCATATTTTATTATTTTGAGCTTTATTGGGCTATTAATTCTGAATTACGTTTAATTGGATTTATTAGCCTAATTAATTTCATAATTACTTGCAGAGATTTTGGAAGCACTTAATGGACTAGGACCATTGCTACGTGAACCTACTTCAGCATAGCCTTATTTTTATTTTTGTTGTATTTTTCCTATTGCTGTTTGTATGAGCTAGTTGGGCCAACTGGGCCAACCCAATATTTTGAATTACTGTTTTCAAATTTTTGGAGGGAGACAAAGAGGGAAGTAGGTTTTTTTTAGGTCAGAGGGTGATGGGACCCTAATGACAGTCGCCACCCCTCTTTTGGGTTTTGGACAAGATTGAAAGACACCATTTTTTTATTTTTGGTTGCCCTCACTTTTCTTGTATTTTCGTTGCTGTAGCTTTTTCTTCTTGTTCTCCTTGTTCTTCTTCTTCTTCTTCTTTGTCTTCTTCTTCTTCCATTGTTATTCTACTGTGTCTTCCACTTCCATGGAAAGCTAATTTGTATTACTCTCGAACTCAGTTTAATGCACCATTGAAGTCTATTAATTTAATGTGTCCTTACGTTCTAATCCTCATTAATCTATTACGGTTGGTCACGAGTTTGTTTCCATGCTTAATGGTTTCATTTTTAACTTGACTAGTTTGCTTTGCTCACGGTTTTCTTAATCCCGTGAATAGAGATGCATGCTAATTCTTCATTTATATCTATATGTTCAACGACGGTAATGACGCTTAGTGGTTACTCATACTTGAACTAAGGTTTAGATAAGTAGGGTAATATTTTGAACCAAGGATATGGGTGCTACAACTGAGTTGGAGAGTTGACATGTACTGTTCAACTGCTTTATTGTTCATGCCCAGTGTATTATTTCGAATCTGAAACCCCCATTCGTGTGTTTGTTTATACTACGAGAACCTTTGCCTGGCTTATTTCTCCTTGAGAGAAATGACCTAGGAGTCACTTCCTAGTACTACAAAAATCACATTACATTTGATCGAGTACGACATTGATCAAAGACCCATAAGCAAAAGGGGTAACCTAGGAAAAAATAAGGATCAAAAGAAAAATGTCCGCTAGGGAACACATTCCAAGTAACCTAGGAAAAAGTTAAGATGCTAAAGTAGAAACCTAAGTCAAAAATTGAAAGGCGGCTAAGAGGGGATCATCTAACCAAAGCGCAACCCCAAGTCATTACTCAACTTTCCAAAAAAGGCTAAAACACAACGATAACTTCCCTGTAACAAATATGTTTTGTTTACTAACCCTAAACACAAATTCCTACCTCGGCCAGCCATTCTTCTAGAAACATTTTTTCAAAAATGTAGACACCCAATTTCTTCCGGGCTAATAAAAGCAATGAAATGGACGTCTATTATCAAGGAAAATAGCTACCAAAGAATGGAAACAACAGGACATGACATCAGAAGGCCTAAAAGCCCAAACAAGCTAGTTTTAGTAGCCAAGAACGGGTTATTGCAAAACCGGAACGGGCCGTTCCCAATTTGGAACGCACCTTTCCCAATTTGGAATGGGTCGTTCCAAGTTTCTAAAAAGGCCTAAAACCCTAGTTTGGAACAGGATGTTCCTAAACTGGAACGGGCTGTTCCAAGTTCCTAAAAAAGGGCTAAAACCTAAGTTTGGAACGGGTCATTCTAAGTTACTAAAAAGGCCAAAAACTCTTGTTTAGAACGGTCGTTCCAGCATAGTCAGTTATGTATTAAACTCACCTCTGGAATGGGTCGTTCTAGTTTAAGAACGGGTTGTTCTAGTTATAAAATTAATACATAACGGTCGGATCCAAAACGGGCCGTTCTGATTTTGGAACGGGCCATTCTGGTCACTTTCTAATG